GAACGACGAACATGAGACACAAATAGAGACCTTGTTCTCGAGAAGACTGAAAGTTATCAATTCAAAAGACCCTAACCGCCCAGGAACATCAGCGGGAGTCGCTTTTGTTATAAATCAAGAGCTTACCAATGCCGACAATACCGAAACCTTCGAACTTATCCAAGGAAGAGCGATGGCCCTCATAATTAAATGGCATAATAACGAAAAACTTACCATCCTAAATGTATATGCCCCGAATAACATCACTCAACACCCAGAATTCTGGGAAAAGATCAATGAAAAATGGCAAGAAAATAACTTACCGCACCCAGATTTCATGTTAGGCGACTTCAACCTAACAGAAGACCCATTAGATAGAGCACCAGCGAAACTAGACAATGAAAACGCAATCAGCGCACTAAGAGACTTAAGAAACCGACTAAACGTACAGGACACATGGAGAGAAACACACCCATCAGAAAGATTATTCACCTTCTACAGCAACACAAACTCACACTCGAGACTAGACAGAATCTATGTCTCACCCAGACACGACCAAAACATATGCGACTGGACCTCATGCACCTCAGCAGTACCGACAGACCACCGAATGGTCTCAATACGCTTCGCTCCAGCAAACACCCCATTCATAGGACGAGGACGTTGGTCATGGCCGCTAGGTCTAATCAATGACCCAAATCTAATTAAAAAAATAAGTGACCTCGGCAGGGTAGCACAACGAAAAATAAAAGAACAAACCGAACGAAGAAACGAAGACCCGAACCCACAAAAAATATGGGAGGACTTCAAAATGCAAATAAGCCAAGAAGCCCGCAAAACAGCCAAAGATCATCTTAACAAAATAAGACAGCGCACCAAAAAGCTGGAAGACGACCTTAGGACTACAGTAGAAAACAACGACATAGACACGAACGAGCTCACCAGACGCCACAAAGCCTGGCTTGAAAGCGAAATCAACCACCTAGAAAAGAAGAGTCATAAAAACTTACAACTCCACTCACAAGCAAAATGGGTGGCAACAGGGGAAACAATAAGCAAATACTGGTCGAAAATAAACAGCATCAAAAAACCAAGAGACGTAATACACAAACTGAAAATACCAAATACAAACCGTTTCGCCACACACTCGGACAAAATGGCGGACATCGCAAGAGACTATCATGAGAACCTTCAGAAAGACAATCAGCCCCCAGAAACAGAAGAAATAAGAGAAAGAACAAGAGATCAGATAAAGAGAGAAATCCTGCAACAACAAAAACTTGAAAACCCACACTCACCGCTACATAACCTCCTAAACGAGAAACAGATACATGACGCACTATATACATCAAAAGCGGGCAGCGCAGCAGGGCTAGATGGAATTCCTTATGAAATCTGGAAACACCTAGACCAACAACACATACTAGATCAACAACAAGAACGACCTAGCTTTGACATAATTAAGACACTTACGATGATAATAAACGATATACAAATACACGGCATCGAGGAACAATCAGAATTCGCCCTCAGATGGATGTGCCCGATCTACAAGAAAAAGGACCGAACAGAGATAGAAAACTACCGCCCCATTACACTCCTAAATACAGACTACAAGATCCTAACAAAAGTGTTAGCAATGCAACTAGCGAAAGAGGTACATACCCTCGTTCATCCAGACCAGAGCGGATTCATCCCGAAAAGGTCAATCTTTGATCCGATACGTCTAGCGAAAGTCATGATAGAATACGCCGATATAGCAGAGGAAGATGGAGCCCTGATAGCTCTAGATCAGGAGAAGGCCTATGATAAAATCAAACATGATTACCTAATAGAAACATTAGAAATGTTCAACCTCCCGCCGATGTTTGTTCAAACAATAAAAGCACTGTATAAAAATGCCTACACGAAGGTCGCAATAAATGGCATAATGAGCTCACCTTTCAAAGTGACAAGAGGCGTCAGACAAGGAGACCCGCTATCCTGCTTACTCTTCGACCTAGCAATAGAACCATTAGCATGCTCACTAAGAAACTCAGAACACCTACAGGGATACAACGTCCCAAATATAACAAACAAAATAATAGTCAATCTATATGCCGATGATACGACAATATTCCTGAATAAAGATGACAGATACAGTGATCTCGAGAGAATTCTATCAAAATGGTGTTTAGCTTCCGGAGCCAAATTCAACCTAGAAAAAACGGAAATCCTACCTATTGGCTCAAAAACTCATAGAGAACGAGTCATATCCACTCGAAAACTAAACCAAAATGATCAGCCGCTCGAGAACAACATTAAAATTGCACCTGATGGCCATCACATAAGATCTTTAGGTGCATGGATAGGAAATAAGACAGACGATGCGACACCCTGGGAACCCATCTTAAACAAAATCAACAACGCACTTAAAATCTGGAACAAAAGTCACCCGAACCTAGACGGAAAAAGACTAATAATACAAATGATAGTCGGAGGAATGATGCAATTCCTCACAAAGGCACAAGGAATGCCTAAACATATAGAATCAGCGTTAATAAAAATCACCAGGAACTTTATCTGGAATGACGCGCGCTCCCCTCCCATTAACCTGGAACAACTGTACCAACCAAGAGAATCTGGAGGTCTCAACCTACTAGACATTAAATCCAGGAACGAAGCAATTGAAATAACTTGGGTTAAAACATACCTGGAAATAATGCCGACACGGCCAACCTGGGCCTACGTCATAGACCTGCTGATAAATAACCTAAAAACGAAAAAGAACGTCAATGACGGGAACAAATTAGACAACTTCTTTCTCCAAAATTGGAATCCACCGACCAAAGGGCCCAACTCAAAACTCCTTCCCAACGAAGCACTAAAAATAGTACAAACTGCCAAACAACATAATATAATCTTCGCCCCAATTAAAATGTCCAAAGACATCAAAAAACAACTTCCGGCATGGAATAACATAGGCGCCCCAAAAAATACGTACCATAAATCCAAAAACAAATGCCTGCAAGAAACACATAACATAAAGAACATTAAAAACCTGATTAAATGTAGAAAAAGACTGACGCGCCTAAGAGGAGACCCGCTCCACATCCCACAAAAAACCTGTGCATGCTCTGACTGCAAACGAGATAGAGCCAAAGGATGCAAAAACCCTCACAACTGCGCACAAGTAGCCAACGAAATCTTGAGTAAACTAGCCCCAAAATTCGACACGAAATCAAAACCAAGGAAAGACAACCTATCGTTGACTCACCACAGAAAAGAGAAAAACAATCAGGCTCACATACGCCGCACGGGAGAGATACTCTTTGACCCGACAATCACCATAAGATCTAACGTAAATGAAGGCTTCAGAATCTTTGCAAAACCAGAACTTATATCACTCACCCCGGCACACAGGCTGCGAGCGCCGATAAGAGGCCTAAATCTAATACAAGATAAATTAACAATCTACACAGATGGCTCGTGTATCAACAACGGGAAAAAGGATGCACGTTGCGGAAGCGGAATATGGATAAACGAGAATCACCCAAACAACCAAGCCATCAAGATCCCAGGCAAGAGACAATCAAACCAAATCGCTGAAGTAGCAGCAATCCTCATAGCACTACAACAAACCGCTCTATATATCCCTATAACCTTCGTCACAGACTCCAAATACGCCATAGAAGGATTAACCAAAAACTTACCAGACTGGGAAGACAGAGGATGGATAGACGTCGAAAATAGCGAATATTTAAGAGCAACCACCTATCACCTGAGAAAAAGATCAGCTCAAACATCGTTTATATGGGTTAAAGGGCATAACGGCCACCACGGTAATGAACAAGCCGACCGGCTAGCAAACAAAGGAGCAAACAAAGCAAACGAGGACATAATTGACCTCTCAGTACCGGACGAATTCAACCTACAAGGTGCAGCACTGTCAGAAATTACGCAAGCAAGAGCATACAAAGGAATATGCACAAAAGCTAAAATAAAACCAAGAACAAAGACCACTAGTAACCTTGATATCACGAGATATGCGATACAGACCCTAACCGGTCACCTAGAAGAGGACGCAGCGATCTGGAGAGGATGCAGAAATAAGGACCTACCACGGAAAATACAACAATTCCTCTACAAAACGATACATGGTGCATACCGTATCGGAGAATACTGGTCAAACATCCCCACCTATGAATACCGAGCGAAATGCTCACACTGCCAAGCAGAAATTGAAACATTTGAACATATTATGATTGAATGCCCAAATAATACACGCACCACGATTTGGAACCTCGCGAGCAACCTCTGGCCTGCGAGATATGGAGCATGGCCCAGAATAACAGCAGGGACCATAATGGGCTGTGGAAACATTAACAGAATCCCAATAAACGGACAAAATGGAGGAATCCCAGATGAACAACAAAATAACAATCAGAAAGGAAGATCAAGACTTCTAAGAATTCTGATATCGGAATCGGCGCACCTAATTTGGACTCTAAGATGCGACAAAACGATAAACGGAGTACAACACTCCGAGCAAACAGTAACCAAAAGATGGACAACAATAATAAACAAGAGACTACAGACCGACAGAATCACTGCCAAGGTAATCATACGGAAAGAGGCGTACAGAAATCTAGTCACAGCCACCTGGGCTGACGTAATCACAACAAACACAAACCACAACAAAAACTGGGCTATCGCCCTTGAGGTTTTAGTGGGTATCATACCACCCAGGCCCTCTACGAACGAGGCTCCCAGGTAGTCATAGAGTCCCACACACCCACCAAATGGTAGGAGTGCGTAAGTGCATTTTCCCTCGGAACGGTGTTCCTAGAACACCGCTATAGCGCGTACTTGTAGAGCTAGACTTAGTCAGTTGCTGCAAATACACATCGCTTGTCCAAAAAAAAAAAAAAAAGAACCCGGACGCATCACGTGGTCATAAAACTAAATAGCTGGGAATTATCATTTGATCATCGACAATACATGGCAATAGTCTGATGGAAAAGATGATGATGCGGCTGCCAGGTGTCTTGAGTTCAACTCAAACAACTAGCATCTTTTTTTCAAAGTACCAATCGTCGACTACATTCCTTGTTCCGATTGATCTGGAGGACTTCTCATATTGCCGACCCCATCTCCGCCCAGCGCCCCCGAGATTGAAACGGGTCGGATTGCAGCAGGCCCTCCTGAGCGGGTTACATTCTGCAACGACTCTAGACAACACGTTCAGGGTTCTTGGGAGGCTGGCCAAGCTGAAGTGCGCCAACCTGTTCGACTCTTCCCCAAACTGGCTTCGAAACCTCTTTACTCTGTCCCTACGGTGGTGCATGAACATCATGTGTAATCACCAGCATGATGAGGCTCTGGATAACCTTCTGTCATCCAACCGCAGGTTTAGCTGCTGAGGATTACATTATCCGAAATTTCTCGAAATCGAATATCACGCTCAGCACTGGGTTGATACCGCGCCCCTATAGCGATATGCTCGCTCTGATTCCAACTCCGTTCGTCGTTTTGGTTATTGTGATGAATCCGGCCGGATGGTCTAGGGATCTATACACCCGGACAATCGGACTCATCATTTCCTACGGGCCAACCAGGGCATCAAACCATCCGGAGTTCCCGGACTCTACTCGTGGCAGCTGTTGCAAGCCAAACTCAATCGGATGTGACTCGAAATGACTCTTTCGTCGTTTTCTGGCCTATTGATTGTCAAATCAAAGTTTCTTCTCGGTTTATCAGCTGGCCGATCCTTTTTGGTGCTAGGGAAGGAGTTCATCTCGATGCGCCTACATTCTCATGCTCTCTTCCTCCTTACACTTCTTCCCCTCAGCAACACACCGTGGTCTTCATGCACCGCATTGCTCCCTGAAGTGATTTTCCGGTGCAATATTGCCTCATGCCGAGGTATATAGTATCTCCGAGGTGAATTGTCGTGAGTATGGTGATCACGATGACGAACTCGTGAGTGTTTAATTGTACACATGTTCGCTGTGTGCTCGGATAAAGATAAATCCATCCTGCAGGAGAGGGTGGAGTTTACGAAAAAATTAATCGTGTATGCACCACGATGGTGCATCATGTGAATTGACGAGTGTAACGGGCTGGAACGAGCTGCATTGTTCAGCTTCCGATTCAATTTTTAGTGTCCTAATTTTTTATTCCAGATGACGATCGATGAGGCCTTGCGCAGCTGTTGAAATGAAGCATGCACCCACCTTGGCCTGCTAAATTACATCACCGTGACGAATAGATGACAAACATCTGCGGACTGCGGTATTACGCTCATGGCGTTCGCCTCGCACAGTGCCATTGAATATTTCAACTCTAGTACGTCGAATTCAATTTCACTATGAGCAACGAGTACGCAAACAATGGCCAAAAGGGATAAAATGCTTGTAAATGATTGTTTCATCTCTTTTGATTTTTTTAGCGATTATGTCAACCTGACACGCACGCAAAGGTGTAAAAGTAGTGGGTCGTAATAGGTAAATATTGTTCATTCTCCCGGTGCTACAGATAATTATATATGTGCGCTTCCCAGAATATCCGACAGTCTCAAAACTGTTTCCTGTACCTACACCCAACAACCTAGCTCCGAAGAACTCGAAAAAAAAACACAACAAAAATGGCGAACGAAGATCGAAAACATGCTGAACGAAGTGTTTTGTAATAAATAAAGTGAAGTGGTGGTATTACTCGTTAAACCCTGTGCCGTTGCTTAAACACTACAGAGCATGTGACATTGTCCTGGTTATCAAGGAGCAGTGTCTGGAGCTACAACCAACAACGGTGACTACCATCGTTTTCCGAATCATATAATCATTTCCACTTACGTTTGTATATGAATGGAACAGTGTGCATCGCGTTCATGCAATGATGCAATAACAACCTCCGGAGCTCGACTGTGACTCCTCCTCCACTGGTGCTGACGACGCAGGGCCCCTCTCACCGTCAACGGACAGAATAGCAAAGATGTTTGAGAACGAGTCCATTGCTCTGGGATAGGGCGCGACTTGTACGAGTAGTCGAAGGTGTTGTATGAGAGATGGCAGTTGGATAAACTGCTGGTGAACGGTGAGTGAGTCGACCAAGAACGCATTGTCGACGCCCTTATATACCTTTGAACTGTAACAATTTCACCATTGAGAAAACTTGGCGAAATTCCGCATAAATCCTCCGTCCTATTTCATCGTAGTATCACTGTCCGACTGAGCACTGTCACACGCCCGCCATTGAGATTCCATCGAGGTAGACAATAGACTTACAAGCCTAACAGCGAATACTCATGAGATATCACTGTATCGTGTGACGATTCCGATGGGTAGGGGGAGAAGCATGACAATAAGGTCTTCCTAATCAGGCAGCCGTTGGAAGTAGTATTCATTGCACGGTTCAACGTTTCAAATTTCAACTCTGTAATGATGACGAATGTTATTGGACGTGCCTTGCACCCTAATGTATTGTTCGCCGAGATTGGTCGACCATACTCTGGAAGCTTGAGTCTTGACCTGGGGCGTGAACTTTATCGGCATCTGCGCTCCGAACATGATCCCAGCCAGCCTGAGTCACATCAGGCCTCAGGAGTCAGGAGTCGGGACGTGACCCACCAGTGTTCTCAGAGCACGAGTCCCTGATCATATGACGTACCACCAGGTTGCGCCACGATTATCCCGAATCCTACGATGAACCCTATGAAACAAAAAGAGGCTCGCAGCGTCAGGACTCGGAAACACGTTTCATAGGCAATCTGGCAGTGTCCACTGGATGAAACATTGCGGGACTAACACATATTCGAGTTGGAAGAATACATCTATTCGACGTCGACAATGCCACAGCCGGAGTCACTACCAGGCTGTAGATAGGCTTATGACGTATCTGATTGTCGTCCTGAGACTAAACTCCAAGAAACCATCAGTCGAAGGTGTGCAGGCCCGGCGTAGATGCTCACACACAAAGCGTTTCAACTTGATCAATCCATCGCGAGCGGTGCATGGCTCATTCACACGAGTCTCAAAGAACACTGAATTTCATTCTACGCGCAATAGTACGAAGACATTCATGTGTTGATGCCTTGTCATGTACATTTTGAGGGAAAAGAATTTGAATACGGCCACTGCATGTTGGATATTGATAATGCTTTACGAGTAAGGACAGAAATGTGCTGCGAAAGTGTAGGTAGCATAGAGCATTCGTGGTGGTAGACAATTACTGCAATGTTGAATTGTAGTTTAATTCGGGGACGAGGGTACCTCAATTGAGTGGAAAGTGGAGGTGGTGGGATCGTGGTAGCATAGCATCGTGTGTGGTCGTTGGTAGCTATGGGTGCGACTAGTTGTCCTCAGACTCGACTATTGTCTTATCACTGGCAGCATGCTGGAGGGTTTTCTTGTCTCCAACAATCCCAACACCGTGAAGGCAGAGCGCTGCCAGCAGCGCAGCTATTCACCACAATAATACAAATCGTCAACAACGCACTCTCAACCAGGCCGAATTTGCAGTACTCACCCATAAGCGCAAATGAAGCACAGGTCCATTGCGCAGACCTATAACCTTTAAGCTGTGCGGAACGGGGCGCGTTGGTGCCAGCAGAGTTGAGGGTAACACCAACGTCAGCAGACTCGTTTTTGACCACGATGTTGAACACAAGCGTAGATACGGCAAGTCCGACTGCAATGCCGAGCTATTCCAAAGAAATTGACCTTAGTACAGGACAGTATTATCTGGTTTGACGCTGCTTGCCTGTGCCATAGTTTGAAACATAGCTCCAGCAACGCTGCGCTCGTGTGGGAGCGCGATTTTGGCGATGAAAATCGTACCAGAGGAGTACACAAAATCAGCTCCGAACACGACAAGAACCGCGGACGGGAAACCAAACGCCCAATACGTTACGGTTGGGTCAATCAGCGCAAACAAGATAGCGGCAGATGCTGTTAGTAGCGTTCCGCTCACTGGACGACAAGTTAGCCCCACATGTTACAACGATCCTCGCACAAAGCCATACCTGCAAAGATGATCAAAGGCAATTTGCCAACAAACATTGCAACCAAGACGTTGCACAAACATCCAACGACGAACATTGGAATGAACCGGAGCATAGTTTCTATAGGTGAGAGCAAAAGGTAGTCTTGGTAGTACAACTTGAATAGAGCGAAGTCAGCGTTTTCATTCCTCCGAGTGGAGAAACATGGACATACCTGAACCCAGAAGCTCCAGCTCATGAAACCACTCCAATTGAGGAATGCAATGACGAGAATGACAGCCATCCTGCCCTTTGCTCGCGTCCAAAGCGAAAGACTCATCAATGGCGGTGGTCTCCATGCGGACGGTGCTCTGGATGGATCATCTAAACCTTGCTCCAAGTGTCGCTCCCAAAGAAGAAACAGCAAAACCATGATAATCCCGACAATTAGAAGAGTAATAATGTCTGGCAATGATTATGCAATTCAGCAATACATGACACAGAAGAAGTCTTACATGGAGTTTTCCAGCCCTGAGGAGCAACTTCTCCTTGACCAAGTACAAATAAAATTAGAACCAAACCGACGGTGACGAGGGTAACACCGATCCAGTCGACAGCTTCCGCCGAAGTAACATCCGCATCGAATGAAATCATACCGGAAATACCCGTGAGAGCAGACATTGCTGCAACCAGATAAAATGGAGAGCGCCAGTGCGTCCTTTACGAGGACATCAAAACTTCAGCATCTGATATGAATAACATAACGTACGATGTTATCTGTGTGAGGACACCGCCGATGATCATGCCAAATGCGCCGCCGACAGGAGCGCCTGCTGCAAATGTCGCGAAAGCTACTGAACGCATTCTAGATGGAGGGAATGCGTGGGCCAGGATACCGAGCTGACAAACTGCATGAGAATTCGAGTTCGAAGAAGTATACAAAATGCTCACTGCGGACGGTATCGTAGCGGCGGCACCCATGCCTTGGAAGGCGCGCAAAATGACGAGGGTAGTACCACCTGTGATGACAGTGTAAATGGCTAGAGCTGACGGACAAATGTGGCACTCACTTTGTGCAAAGCCACAACCAAGAGAAAATGCGACTTGAGAGAAAGTACCGATCATGAAGGCCTTCTTCCGACCATAGATATCTGCCAACCTGCCAAAGAACAAGAGAAAGCAACCCTAAGAGGGAAGTAAGCCTGAATGTAGAAAGATCAAGAGAAATAATGATGCACCGAACTGAGGGAATAGGCCGATACGAGCCACTGCAGTTCCTCTTCCTTGATATTGAGGTCCTTTTCAATAGTCGGGAGGGAGATAGAGGCAGAACTGGTATTAGTGACCTATGAATAGCAAGCCATCATAAAAAATATCGCAGATTATTATTACAATGAAGACATACATTGACCACCATCGCAGCGGTGCATGTCGCGATGATGAAGATGGATCGCCAAAGACTGCGCTGTACATCATGTTGCTTGGCCTTCTCCAGGCCACTGAAATCTTGACGGATTGGTGAACGGGTAAGCTCCTTGGACATTACTTGTCGTGTTTCCCGGAAATGATAGTACAGCGCTCGAGGGAGGATAGCCTGAGATTCATCATGGGCCGCAATCGAACGACTAAACTTGAGTGCTCGTGTTGTTCGGGTCAAGAAAAATCCCCGCTAGCTCGTGCGGAAGCAATTTATGTGTAATTATTGATTAACCGGATCTCGGTCGAACATTCATCGACATCTGCCGAATACCAGAAGGAGAACTGATCACGCGTAAATTGTAGCGGCGAGTGACGGTGTAGGTGGAGTGTCTCGACTTCCCCTGTGTCAGAAAAACCTAAACGTACCTCGGAAGACTTCTATGGTTTCCAATAACGTTGTAGTAGAGACTTCCTGGTACAATTAATGAATAGTTGGTAGTCATAGAGGTCAAATTGTAATCGATGTGCTAAAAATGACAATTACAGCCAACAAATACGTCATGCTACAATTCGAAGTTGAACCCGATGATCAACATGGTGACCGCTCGGTTTTGCAAAAACTTGCCGCCTATCTGACCTTCTCATAGGAAACAGAAATTACCTTGCAA